CCACTGTGCTAAAAGTGTACAGCAAAATAAAATGGGGCTGAGACTGACTTGTGTGCATTGGCTGAAACAGACACCAGGCAGATATTTTGACACTGTAGGTAAAACAAGAAAATCAGCTACTCACTCCAGCACAGTGAACAGCATCAACGTCACCACCAGCGCACACAGAGACGCACCAGAGCCAATGAAAGTCAGCTTGGTCAAAATAAGCTCTTCCTCAGGAGTCCACTGGGAATGAGAGAATGGTAGTAAATGCAATTTTAAAATGTCAAGGTACTGCTGGTTTACTTTCTGATTTACTCTCTTTTGTAGAGTCGGATAGATAGAAAGTCCAGTTGGTGTCTACCAATGCTTTCTTCAGATACCCACACTGACAGTGACACCTGCTGGATAATACAGTAAATAGCAAATTGTATCTCAATTTTAGAGGTCACAGAGCATGACCTGAACTTAAATTTCACAACAATTTAATTTAGATGAATATAATATTAATAATATTGAATGAAAAAAGACAACTGCCACATATGATCAGTATTACTTACATTGACCTTTATCTTACTTTAAATTTGAGGTCTGACTTTCTAATGTATAGTTTACATTTTCTCACATGCAACCTTGAATTCTGTATGCGTGGTTAACTCAATTACATCATAAACACATCGCGAGTTACCTTTGACTCCAGGTAATTCATCAGCACTGCAAAGTTGGTGGTGTGATTACACAGACAGGAAGTGGCACTGGAGCCAGCAAGGGTCACCCTGCACCCATCACTGGACCAGCCACTGGTATGACTATGCCTACAGAGCACATTACACAGTCACAAACTCACAGAATCACACAGACCAGAGAAATCTAGTTTTAAACAGGAAGAAGGGTTTATGAGCTGTCTGTTGCTAGTCAAACTTACATCAGGCTGAAACTCCAAAAAACACAAATAGGCGAAACTTGATGTGAATACTCCACCTACAAACAGAAACATGTTTGCACTTGCTTTCTTTCTTTGTCTACAGTATTTCTCTCTTCATGTATAACCCCAGAACATAATGAACCACAAGTTAGATGAATAAAAGCCATGTGCTTCTAGCTGGGAGAACTTGGAGAATTCCTTTGTAGTGACATTCTCTATCTGGTGAGTTTATCAAGGGGCAACAACTTTACTGCAACTCAACTGCTATTTCTACACAATGTTTTTTTTTTTTTTCCAAAACAGATGCTGTGCCAGAATAGAATGAATTTGATTCAAACTTGTCTGATCAGTCATGATGTTAAAAATATATATAATTGATATCATAGGCTAAATAATCACACAATGTGACACCACCCTGAACAATGGACTGTACCACATGTGAAGAGGACAGAGTGTATTGGACAGCCACAGGGATGGTTTGGGCCTTAGTGGCATCACGAATGGTGGCTGATATGACAGCAGAAGCCAGATGACCTGGGAGAATCCTGGAAAAGAAACGATAGTTAATAAATACATCTGTCTTTAAAGGTTTTAAATACATAGAAAACTTCAATCCAAACTATTTTATCAACTATCCATATGATCACTACAGTACTCTTTCAAGCTGATGAAAGCACAAAGTGTTAGCACATCTTACTTGGTTGAAATCAGAGCAGAAAAGTTAACTTCTTCATTTAAACCAGTGTATTTGGTTAACCTATTATTAGATTTTAAGGGTATGTATAAAAGTGGTTTACAGAGCTTAAGTGATCTGTCATTCTGCCCAAATTTAAGTGAACAATCTTATCATAATTTGTTCCATAGTATAGCAATTTGATGTTTGTAGCTGAAAGGCATGAGGCAACAACAATTCTCCTGACTAACTTTAAATATGGCGAGTGCTGAAAGTAATGTGATATGCTTCTGCATTCTGTGGTGGCTTACAGTGGCAGTGATGATGAGAAACCCTAAATATGAGATCCAAAATTAGTGCTAAACTCAACTCCACATGAAAAAGGAGAGAAATAAACTAATATAGTTATTATATTTTATTTAGATTTGAACATCTGTTGGGCATTTTAACTGAAAAAAAGTGAAAACCCTTTTTTTCAGAATAGTCAAACATTTAGAGAGAATACAAAAGCCAAACTACATCCAACCTTTTAATTTTCTCCTGGTGGCTCAGCGAAGTTTCATGTTCCTGTGCTCCAGCCACAATCTCGCTGAGATGGCCATAGTGGGTGTGAATAAACATCACTTCCTCATATCCTGATTGGAGAAAGAGGAGGAGCAGAGCAGCTTTACTTTATCCTTTAGAAACACAAACTGAGCATTGCTTCAATTTTCAGCTGTGACACACTTCAAACAACTTAAACCACTCACACTGGAAATCTGCATAATGCAAATGAATTGCTCAGCTACAAGGAATTTTACCTATCTGCTAAAAGTTGTTTCCAAAATATCAATTTATACTTTGGAATCCAAATTACAGTTACAGTTCTGAAGGCATTTGAACTAATTCTCATAGCAAATTCTCTACAGCAATCAGTCTCTAGCTTAATGAGATTTAACCATATATTGTATTGTAACCTGTAGTGTTTTGAAAAAATATTAACAGAATCAAGTGCTTCAAATCTATGACATTTTTAAACATGCTAACAACAATGGGGAAAAGCTATAGTTATAGTTGAGCATCTCAAACACACAATTATAGATATATTTGGACATTCAGACTCAATTTCAGACCCAAAACCACAGAAATCATGTAATATGTGTGTACATTTGTACATAAATGCACATACAGTACTGTGCATGTACACATATTTGAACATCCATCCATCCATCCATTATCTATACTATTTATCCTGACAAGGGTCACGGAAAGGCTGGAACCAATCCCAGCTGATACTGAGCAAGAGGCCAGGGAACACCCTGGACAGGTCACCAGTCTATCACAGGGATATATTTGAATATTTGGGCACCTAGGTTTTTTCCTTCTCTTTGCATTTTCATGTGTCTCTTACCCAGTGTGTGTATCCTCTGAAGCTCAGTGTCAGGGATTAGCAACTCATCCTGACCACTGCTGCTGGCGGTGTGAGAGCCAACCACAGATGGCTTGAAGACTTGACTACAGCTCTCTTCAGACAGTTTCTGCCACTTCATGTACACATCTGGCAGCACAGACAGCAGAGGTCTCTCAGACAAGAAAGATGATCAGTTCAAGATGTTCAAGTTTTAAGATGTTTTTATTACCTATGTTCTTGGTAGAAAGAGTGAAGCCTCTTCTCTCAGCAGACAGCATATCTGCCAGAGCTTCAGTGAGTGTATCAATGCTTTTGACAACAGTAAATGGACACACACTAACCTGTAAAAGAAATACAGACCCCCCCCACCAAAAAAAAAAGTTAGACTGCGATTCATAAAACTGAAACAACTTACCTGAGTTCAAATTTCTGATAAATTTATTTTAGCTCATTGAGACCAAAAAGGAAATATATACATAAGGGAGACGTTTCTGAGACAAAAAGAACAGTTTGAATGAATCAAATTTTCAAATAGGGTTTTTCCATACAATCAGAAACACCTTGGTTTATTTTTCTAACTAGTTTTATGTCATTACAACAATTTAATTGGCTACACTACAAAGCTTACAACTTCCCTGAGTACACTTTTTATTACATACAGTAAAAACGGTGTGGAAATCAGATAAACCTCAGAGAACGTTTTAAGGACAAGCCCTGACAAAGAAAAACAGGTCAACCCCCTCACCCCATCCTCTGTCAGGCCCATCCACTGTGTAGCCATGTGAGGCTCCAGCATCAAACTTGCCACCTTCATATAGTTGGTAGCAATGGATACCATGACTTCTGCTGCACCCGCTCCTACAGAGCGTGTACTAGCCCGTGTAATAAGGTCCATCTCAATCATTTGGGAGAGGTACAGGACATCTCTGGAGGTGAGGAGATTCAGGCCACCATTTTCCACCATATGCAAGATATCCTGGGTCAGCTGCTGCAGCAAGATCAGGTCTCTGTTCCAAGATATGTTGCTCAGCTTTTCCATCATCTGAGTGAAAGTCACATAAAGATTTTAAACTGTATTTACCTAGGAAAAGGTGGCTGAAATTTAATGCTGCTAATACAATATTTCTTTTTTTACACACCTCAGGGTAATGATCACTTCTAATCACCACATACAACAGATTTTCTAGAAAGGTGACCCAGTAAAATAAAAATACAAAAACAACAATACCTAATAATAATCCAACACCGGGAAAGTTACTGAGAAAAGGTTATTATTCTCTCAAAAACTGAAACAAGATAATTTTTAATGAGGAGAGTACTTTTAGTTTTATGTCATACCAATAACTGCATGTCTGCTATCAAACATACATAACTGAGTTTGTTTGAAAGGTATCAGTTCTACCCTAATCATGGACAGCATTTCTTCTACTAGAAAGTCTAAATTAAAATTAATAATATATTATTAAATATTTTATATGAATGTTATGTTATGAAATCCTTTTAGTTCAGTGTACACATTAGTATCAGTTGCACCAATATCATGAAGATGAGTTCTTGAACTATACCACTAATTTAACTGTCCAACTCACATGTTTAGTCAGAGGATTCCTGGTGAGTCTACTAAAGAATGGTGTCTCTGGTAAACTGACATCTTCTGCAAAGACAGAGACAAATATATTACAGTAAGACCCCACACTATAACCAAGGAAAATTCAACTATGTAAAAAAAAAAAATCTAAATTTTGCAAAGATAGTAATATTTATTACAGGACTATTGTATTAGATAGCATAGCAATCTTCAGCTAATGCTTTATTTCATTTATTGTTACTTAGAGTGATCATCACATTCATCAAGGATAAAAGGCATAAACATCAACTGGCATTATTATTAAGGACTCATTAGTATTAAGGACTTTTACCTTTCTCAAACTGGCAAACAGCTCCTTTGAATAAGTCACACTTGGCTAGTTTCGTTCTGCCCATGACAGGGTCCAAGATGCCACAGTCCTCATCAGACTGCGGGCTGCGGAGCAACTCAAAGGAAAATGTTTGATTCTGCATAGAACTTCTTTCCAGAAGAGAATCCAACAGCGACTCTGTTAACACAGTGAAGTTACCTAGAGAAGGAAATGGTGAAGGTTATTCCTAATATTATCAAAATGAATGAGGAACACATCAATACTGAATGCCATGTCCAGTTTCCATAGTACGCTTCAGAAAGCTCATCAAAAGATATGATGCCGCAGCAACATAAAACTAAAACCACACAGTATCCTTTAAAATGTGTTTATGTAATAAACTTCATGTTACTTAATTATTTTTCCCCAACACCATCTCCGTATACTGTAGCAACTGCTGAGCTGACGCTTTCTGAGCCAAACAACAACATTATGGGAAACAAGTATAGTTTAATTTACGTAACTTAAACTTTTGGTTGAGGTTAGGATAAGCCTGTGGTCATGGCAAATAACTTAGAGTAGAGCTTAAGCAACAACAACAACACTTGGTAATACAACTATTGAGGTTATGGTTATAAAAAAAATCTTTGTCACTCACAGGTAGAAGGTGTTATTTTTAGCTAAAAACCTTGGCTAGAGCTACTGTACAGTGTTGGTAAGTTAACCTGTATAAGATTAAACCTTGGCTAGAGCTACTGTACGGTGTTGGTAAGTTAACCTGTATAAGATTTGTAAATAAATTCCTAAACTGAAAATCACTGGAGGACTGCAAGTGTGCTCTCCTTTCTGCAAGTTCAGTTCCAGGAGGGTGAGTGAGGGATCTGGACCTTCACTGCTTACTGGGGAACATGATGTCAGAAAGGGAAAGGTTTGTTTTGAAGGGTGGGATTCAGAGTGATGTGAGTCATAAAACATTCCCAAGAACCATTACATGCCCTAGCATTCGCCAGCACCAACTCCCCTATTCACTGCTGAGAGGGAGCAAAAGGCAGCAATAAAGAAAACGTTTCCTCTCCTTCAGTCTCACTAAACTGCCAGTTGTGTTTGATGCTGGAAATGAAACATATGTGTTTGTGTTTACTCTGTGTATGTACGTTTGTCAAAGCATGCCACACATTCATAAAGGATTAGGGTTATTATGATTAAGCTTTCTTGCTGATCCTCAAAGTCATTTAAATAATTTGTATCTGCCAATACTGAGCCTGAAATTGATGTGTCCCAGTGCACACTAACTAGGACAGTGTGGACCAGTACCAGGACTGAATTTACATACCAGCTAATGTCTTCTATTAATTTCAGCAAAGTATAAACACCTGTATATACACAATAGAGTTGTACAATAGGTTATTCCTCATAGTAAAAGATCTTTGATCTTGTTGCTTTCCATTCATTTTTGGTAATGCAGATGATGGGTATACTGCTAATTTGGTGTATTTTTTGCACTGGAGGAAAGCTCCTAAAAATCTGAGGGTGAGGTTGGCATATTTTCAGAAATAACCTAATAAAACTAGTGAAGTTAGCAATGTACCAGTCTTTTCCAACATGCTGCTCTGTAGCTACAGGCTGGGGGATTTTCTTACATTAGTCTGTAACAGACCTGGGAAAAAGATTTTGAAATAGCTCCAGAATAAATGAAGTCAAAACAGCCCTTAGCCAAAATTCTTCTCTTTTGTAATAAAATCATTGTGGAGTCCTGTGTTGTAACCCTTTGAGTTCATAATATATTTTTCTATAATAACAAGATTAATTTATTTTCTGAAATAGGTTTTGTTAACTGCTTTTCTATCAATGTGTACTTAACATTAATTCCCCTATTTAACTGTTGCGTTTCAATTAGGCAAGATGGCAGTTTCAGTGATGCTTTCACACACTTTGACTACCTGTCAGTGCATGTTTTTTAATGTATATAAAATCATCTTTTAGCTCAAACCAATATAAATTACACAATCATTAGGCCTGATAAGACAAATGACAGGATCGTAAGTGTACAGGAAGATGAAACAAAGGCAGAGCCCATTTGGGTCTTGTTGCATCTGCAATTTATTTATACTGTAGTATTTATTTTACTCTGCTTGTAATGTTACTACATCAGGTTAGCTCGGATGTCAGCAAGTTACTGAAAAGTGTGTGGTCCAAAATGAGCTTCAAATGGTTTCTATGTGTTTGTTTTTCTGCATAGCAACCCCAGCCAGCCCTAGTGCCGAACTAGCAAATCTGTAAACAGCATGTGAAAATAATGCTCAACTGTAACACCAGCCTTTGCGGGTTTATTAGAGTCTGTCTTTTACAGTGGAAACTTTTCTTTCGAGTTGGTGATTAGCTGTGATGAATATTCTGGTAACCCTTTAGCTTCTTCCCCTGACCTGATGTGAGATCATCACTAATGTACCTTGACATGGGTTGTCTCTCCACAGCTTAGTAAGCGAGGGGTCTATTTTCATGGCTGTTTCACTCCACTTGAACACAAGCCCAGAAGAAATGGGTGAGCACTCCTTTTCCATGGCGCTAATTTCACTGCTGTTCAGTACTCTATCCCAAATGTGCAGCTCTGTGATGCTCCCTGAGAATGACTCGTCCTTCTTAAATGAGCCTCCAAAGGTGTCCTGCTCTTGCCCAATAATGAAAAGGCCATCAGGACCAATGCTGTCTGAACTGTTTAGGCCATCACCCCTACAGACCATAAGGCCATGAGTAAATAGTGCCCAGCGTCCACCATTCTGGCTCCAAGAAACACACACCGAGTGCCAGGAGTTATCATGGCTGAAGGCATCCTGATAAGGCCCATGATTGCCATGGACCAGAAGAGCCAGCCGCACAAGCTTGCCCTTGATCACATTTGCACGGAGTTGGAACTCATTAATGTATGACTGGATGGAATAAGAAAAGATGGTGGAAATTCCAGAGTCATTCTGATCAAAGAGGAGACGAGTGCAAACGGTCACTGAGCCCATCGAAGGGAAGGTGTGCAGAAGACGGGCATGCTTCCTGTCCGAGCGCCTGGTGAACTCCAGAATCAGGGTCTTAGAGGAACCTTAAGTTTCAGCCCAGACACAGAGAGAAAAAAAGATGCATTACTATGAAGGAAATATGCTGGCACACTTCTTGGAAAAAATGGAGCCTGATAAAATTTCACTTTGTGTTCATATCGTCTGCCTACTGTAAATATGCGTTAACTATGGCTATGAATGTTGTACGCCATCATCGTCAGTTTTAGCCTTTTTGTTAAATGGAAGAGGAAGAAATCTTGGACAAGGAAAACAATGACCCTACTTAAAAAAACAAACACAGTAATATAAAGTGTCAGCACACTAAACCTAAAAACACACACACACTAATATAAAGTGTCAGCACACTAAACCTACTTGTCCAGTGTGTCTTTGTGGCAATCCACACAGGTTGCGAGATGTTCAAAGATTTTAAAAAGTTGGTTAGCTCTTGGATCTCTACTGGGTTGGAGACTGTGGCTAAGGCTCCAGAGCGCTGTGTACACAATTCCAGTGCTCGGTCCCACGGCACATACTCGGGCACATACTCATAAAAGGACTCATCATATGTCAGGGTTTTGGTTTCCAGTGTAAAAGCTGTTCAAAAAATAAGAAAAAGATGATAATTATGGAGAGGTCCCTTCCAGAAAGCACTGGCAAAAATTCAGGCTGAAATAGCTGACCATGTTAATTTGACTCAAAGACACAATTTTTGTGATCATCTCATGATATAGTGCCTAATCAGTACTCTGGTAAGTTAGAGCGGCAGCACTGTTAAAATAACATTACTGAGAATAACTATAAGTACATGTTAGATGTACAAATTAAAATGTTTTATCTTGGAAATGACATGTATAGAACACTCAAGACATTTACATTCAGAACTTAAAACCAGCCAAAAGAAATGCGTGATGAAATGTGGAACACTGGCATCTCTCTCACACTCAAGTCATCATGGCACTTTGAACACTTTACTGGTTAGCCTCTTGGCCAATGGCTGCTGGTCAAAGTGGTTACTTGCCTGGTTAGGCAAACTAACCATGTTGGATACTTTAACCGCTACAGTGGTTTGACTGTCTTGTACGAAATGGTGACTGAAATAAATAGAAAACGACTCACCTGATATATAGCTGTGAAAACAAACCTGAAACATAACATTAAGTACAAGTCTGGCTTACTTCATTTCTGAAGGTATGCAAGGTAAGCAACAGCACATGACGTAATATACACAACAGGTATGATGGCAGATAAACGGTAAGGTATAAATGATAAGCTGAGGCGTTTATAAACCCACTATTAATAACAAGGTAGCCTGCCTCTGCATTAATCTGCAAATATATCTAGATTAATACAAACAGAAAAAAAACGTATAGCATAAAAACATTATAGCAGCTTGTTATCTCATCTTCACAACTAAGTTATGTTTCGAAAGGCACTCCACACTTATAAACGGGGTTCCTCATCACATTTTGCGTCGGGAACATGGGCTTTGGACACAGGCGTTCTACAAAACCATGCAAAACTTGGCCTAGCTAAAAGTCTACATTGTCTCTTAGAAATATCCTACAACAGAAAAATATAAATGCGATAACTGGGTACTTACAAGCAGGCCTAAACGTGGGAACAATAACCAATGCATTCTGGAAAAAGAAAGTCTCTATTAGCTGGAAATTGGTTCCAAATGGATCGTATTACGCTTTCCTATATGGCTGTGCATAGAAAGACAACTTACTTGAAATGTTCGACTTTTTTCTCGCGTCCTCACATTCCTGTCACGTCGTGTCCATGAACGTAGCATTTACTCAATCCCTTTTTTATAAGTTCATCACCTGTAAAGTTTATCACAGTGACGTTATATTTTATTCTCAGCCATCAGCTCGCTGCTACAGTTCAAGTGGAGCGCAGCGCTGGTAGTAGCGGACTCTCCGAGCGTGGAGATGCAGAGGGCGGCGCAGGGAGCAGCGGGTGTAACCTGCAGCCAAAAGAGCAGAGGGTTGCCAAATGTAGGGTTCAAGGACCTCCTAGGTCCAGGGAGACTACTCAAGCTAGAAGCACAGTTATGAAAAGACACCAATGTATATGAAGCTATAAATCATCTTATTAAATTGACCATTTCTTCTGTTAAACCATGCAGTCTCAAATTATCCTTATGTGTGGTAAATTACATTCAGTGGTTCCAAGGACCACCAATAATTATGCCACCTTTTTCTCCTCTGAATGAAAAGAGATGAGTGCAAAAAAGGAATTTACAGGGTTCAGTGTGTACCTATAAATTTTGGCAAATTGTATATTGTGCTAGGTGTGAGTTCAAAGGACAAAACCTACTCTAGAGGTCATGTATAAAGTGTAAATCTATGGACTCCTGTCCTATACTCAGTATGAAACTCTAGGTACACAAGCTAGACCAATTAGGGATGGCACATATGAATACTTTGTCAAACAGGCTTAACTTTTCCCAGCTATACTGTATATCAGTGCCAAATATCTTCTCATTACAGATGCAGTCTTAACCAGGTGTGCCCTACAATATAAAAGCTTTGGACCCTTGACAAATCAAGCCATATGTTTATTTTAGTAGTACCATGTGCTATATTTGACAAACCTACCAAAAGACTAAAATGACATAAAATAACATTTTTTAAAGTACATATATATATATATATATTACAAAGAAACCCTGAGTATACAAGTCTCTCCTGAGTGCAAATTGTTACAGTATGTGTACAGCACACAAAGCTTTATGCAAATAACAAAATAACATATAGAAAAAACAAACAGGAACAAAGTCTTCCATTATTTCTTTTACAAAAAGCTGTACCACAGCACTTGCATGTTGAACTGCTTTATATTCCAATTAATATAAAAAAAAATGCACTGAAGAATTTACTGGCCTCTATAAAAAATACAGGACAACAAAAAATGCCCGGGTACAGCAGAAATGAACATTCTCCTTACACTAATTTAATCCTAATTGTTTTTATCCTTCAATAATGACTTTGTTATACTCTACATATTCTGGTGACTGAAGCCTTTACCTCAATGCCTGGATCAAAAATACCTTTACAAGGTTACAAAGCAAATTCTATGCAGTTAAAAAAAAAAAGAAAAAGAAAATACCTGTGACATTTGTTATTATCAACATTTTCTCTATGTTAACTATTAACTTTTACAGTAAATGCTACATGATATGACCAGATCATAAAAACAACATATACTACAAGTACACATTATACCCAGTGTGGGCCATCTTTGGATGACACACCTAGAGGGAGAGAGTGCACCATCTTACTGATCACTCGATTTCTCCCAGCACTGTGAGTAGTAGCACTCTTTTTCGTTAAGATACCATCTTCTGTACCCTTATCTGAAATGGCAGAGCTTTGTCTCTCTCCTGCCCCCTGTTCATCCCAGGAGGACGACAGGGACTGCAGGGCAGAGCGGAGCTCATCTCGTGCAGCCACAACACTTTCAAGACAGGGAAGCTGCAGGGACAACGTGAATACACCCTCCTTGGACAGAGCCATGATAAGCTCATCGACAACTTTAGCAGAGGAGGAGATCAGCTCCCTGCAGCTGTTGAGGTTGCAGTCTCTGTCTTTTCCTGGAAGGAAGAAGACATTGAGGTTGAGGAACGACACCTACAACAACAATGATGGAGTACATTTTGACTGAGGCTGGTTTTGTTCATGGTATTCTTCCTTTGTTCATCATGACAGCCTCTTGGTCAGCCAACAACCATAAAAACTCAAACGTATACTCAAAACGTGAAACCAGTAGAAAAACATCTGTTGATGAAGAAAAACATTTCACTGACAATGAAGTTGCCAACGAAAATATCTAACTGGAGACATGACGAGATTCAGGAACTTCTCTCATTAAGAGCTGGCACCAGAATTGTTAAGACAATTTAAGAAACAGCAAGAGACTCGGTTGTTTATTACCAAATTACAAACGGGTTACATGACCGTGTAATGTTCCACCTCCTACGCGCTTTACCCAGGTCCCCCCGGCATAAACAAAAAAGTTTTTCAAGCAGGTGAAAACGCAGGTCGACAAATTTGTGGCCGGATTCCACAGACATAGTCCCTGAAGGCCTCACCTTGTAAGGTTGCAGACAGAGAGGAATGCAGATGTCCGATGGCCAGATTTAGCTGGAACAGCTGGGTCACTGTAGTTCTCAGTCTCTGAAAATGCGATGCTGAGGCCTCCCGATCCTCATCTTCCTCCACCTCCTCTGGGTCAGACTCTGTCTGTTTGAAAACATGAACACACTCCAATAAAATGAAAGGAAGAGCAAATAAGCAGCACTAAATGTAATGCAACCAACATTTACAAAACTAAAAACATGCAAACACAAGAACATAGCAATGAACATAATACATTTTGTTTGTTAAATACACTTAGAAGAAAGAAAATCTGCTAAAGTACACATTCATAATATAGATGAATTTACATTGACAAGCATGAATAGGTGCAGTCCTGTCATATGTGTTATTTAAGAACCACCGTGAATGTAGTTGCTTCCAAGCTACAATTCAGGTCGATTTGACCACAGTACCTCAGTGGGCAGCAAAATGCCCCGTGTCTGTGTCAATGGGTTAAAATAAAAAAAAAAAGCACTGATAGTTTGTGAGGCTAAGATAACAGCAAACAAGCCTGTTAGCTGTGACTGATGCCACTTCATTCAACACATTCATTACCTTAACTATCGTCAAGGGGCAACTGCGGAGAGATAAGCCTACAGAGCATTGAGCTCTACAGGAGCAATAAAGGCTGAGTGGCATCTTCAGCTGAGCTGCTGTGGGAATGGGTATTAATCTGTAACATTTAAGGCTGTGTTAAGATGAACGATTGTTTTGAACCTCTAAATATCCTGGGAAGCTTTGATGGGCTTGTATTCTGTCTTTCAACCATGGTTTACCCAAACAAATACTGGCAGCTTTTGTAATGAGACTGCAGATAGCTGATAGCTAATGCCATTAATCAAATAACTGAATTTTGACCATTTTTAATTTTAACATTCGTTGTTTTTACCTAGACTTTAATTATTGGTAAACTACAAGATGAAATATCATAGAACAGAAATGGGATAGTTAATTATTTAAGGTAGGTTATGATAATACCATAAAACTGCACTGTTGGAATCTATTTTTATAGTTAATTCAATTGCAAGCCTTTTGAATTTCTTAATCTGGTGGAAGAAACATTTCTATTATATTTCACTTTTGATAGCTTCTAGGTTGTAGTTGTTTGTGCTGCTGAAATTTACCATAACAACCATGTAGGTCTGCAGAGCGTGGGCAAAGTCAAGTGTCTTCAATTTTAGGTTCTGCAGGACCTGTGAGCAAAGATAGATCATGAATGATGACACCTCATTCGTTTAGAGTATACACCTACGCCTTTATGGAAAGTAAATGATCATTACAAAATCTAACTATGGCAAGTAGTGTAATAAGATTAAATAAAAAACATTTCCCAGCAACAAGTGACACAATCAGATGAAAAGTGCACCATTTAATAAACAGTTATGATCTCTTACTGGGTTTCTAGGATAGGCAAGCTGAGCATCTCTTAGCATTTCCCTGGTGATGGTGAGGCTGTCCTCTAAAAGAGATCGGATGCCTTTCTTGGTCCCCTTCAGAAGGCATAAGACCATTGATGGCTGAAAAGATTCAGTCATATATCATATTTTTTGTATATTGTACATTTGACTGTGTAAAAATAAACAGAAACAGACACCACTACACTTGTACATCAATAAATGAAAAACATCTCCATCAACTGTCACCTCTTGAGATCTCCCTTGGGCTGAGACCCACATATGTAGCTGATATTCTGTTCTCTGGTATCGTAGAGTGGGGACCTGACTACATTGTAACCCGGAGGCTAACCAGTTACTGTCG